TTGTAGCAAAATGTAAAATGTAAAATGGGTGTCCTTCTCTTTCTTGTTATCATTCAGAACTTGAAGAGTCCTAAATGTTTGGATGGTTTCGATCTGGATCATAACTGTGTTTATAGAACACAGTTCTATAGAAAGTATTTATTTCAAAATAAATATACCTATATGTACCTTGAAAAGATATCTATGTAGAAGAATGTTGAGTAAAATTAACAGAGAACAAATACAGAAGTTCTTGGTCAGTGCTTGTTTTAATTTAGGAATAAGCAAAATAATTTTAAGCTGAGTTTAAAGTAGAAATAATACTTGTGATCTATTTAGAGAGACAAATACAGATTTTTTTAAAGTGGTAGAGCATTAATTTAGATGAAAATAAACCCTGTTCTCTTCCTTTAACTTAGCAGTACATATTCTATTTACACAGTAGGCAAGGGCCCTGAAGCTGGAACAGCTATAGTTGAGAGGATGATCCCTGGAAAGCACTTTTGGAGTCAAGGTCAATCACCTTTCTTCCAGCAGGCCTCCTCCCCAGCAGTCCCACTGCTCCATCAGCTCCTGCCAGGCACACAAAAGCTTGGGGAGATGCTGCAGCACTAAAGGGAGGCTGGCAGAACATTTTATAAATGTGTGCTCTGTGCCCCTCAGCACACCTTGGAGCTGGACTTGCACCTGGTGGAGGGAAACTGGCTCCACAGTACTTGACAGCCAGATCTCATTCCATGGCCACATCTCAGCTAAATAAGTGCTTCAGAGCTCCAAATCTTTTCACTTGTTTCTGTTCAGCTGAGCCCTGTGACACGAACTAAGCAGAGGGAGGACTGCTGAAGGACAATTGAGCACATGGACATTTGCAGTACTTCTGAATCAATTTTATTTTACAGTTAAAGTAATGCAAATAGATTTAAATCCATGCTTGCAATTAAAACAACAGTTTCCTGTGCCTCCCAACTGCAGGCAGAATCTGAGTTCTGTTCTGTGATGAAACATCTCTTTCACAATTTACTGCAACTTTCCTAAATCTTGCCAGCTCTGCTGAACCATTAGGTAGGATGTAAATGCCTTTCTTAGGGTATGCCTCTCCAAAGAAAGACAAAAATATGTCAAATTGTGTAACTTTGGGAGTTAAACATGACTCCAAATTAGTTTTCCTTATTTCCCTGCATTTTGGAGGGCATGATTTTTAATTGCATTATATTCATTTTTACAGTAAAAAAAATCTTACAGATTATCCTTATGTAGTGTGATGTAATGAGCAGACTTTAGATTTTTACGTACTCCTGCTTTTGTACAAACATTTTAAAAAAGAGGACTGTTGTTAATATTTGTCTCAGTCCTCAGGTAAAGCAAGATGCTAACATAATACAAACCATGCTGATTTATGTTGCAAATATTTGAAGACCAAGACTCTCAGACAGACGGTGTGATTCTTGGGACTGTCCTGTGCACGGCCAGGATTTGGATTTGATGATCCTAGTGGGTCCCTCCTAACTCAGCATATTCTATGACTCTATGATTAGTGGGCAGAGAAGTCCTCTTACCATCCTACCACCCTGTTTCTGCAATTTAGAGCAATGTAAGATGATCTATTAATGTCTCAAACTCTACAGGAAAAAGATGGTCTTTCTACCAACTGTAGGGTAATAAAATTATATGACCTAAGTATCTGAAAATTTAGGAAAACTGGAGCTTCCAGACAATTAGTCTGTCTTTGAATGTTACACTGAAGGCCTCTTCTCAGAAGTTACACAATTTTCTGCCTCTTTGTAGTAATTGACATCAAAGAATTTAATCCTTTTTTACAATGGAATCCTATTCTCATTGTTGTCAGAGCAGATGGAGGAGGCTCTGCAGGTTCTCCTCTTAAACCCATCTCTCTGTTTCATTTTGGTTGACTCTTGCATATGATAAAATTCTTCTTAAATTTACTTCCTTGCAGGAAATAACTGTTGAGTGAAGACGTGTTCCCAAGAAATGAGTGTTGAACTGCACCTTCCCAACAATCTCAAGAGATTGTTTTCTGGGTTCCTTGCTGTCCTGGGTTCCACACAGAACTGCTTCAATCTTTCTTTTTCAGTCCTGCTACTGCCAAGCTTACCCAATTGGCTTTCACTGTCCTAATGTTCTTATTTGGCCCCACCAAAGTTCCTAGAAGGTTTAAACTATACTACACCATGAAAGACTTGTGATTTGGGATGTGATTTTGCAATAGCTGTGCTCAGAGCTCTTTGAGGACAAAGTGTCATCACAGCTGTGAAAAATATCCTCTAGAAGACAAACCAAGGCAAAGATGATGTTACAACCAGGCATCAAAGAAGAAAACAATGAAAAGTTATTGCTAAGCTATGCAGGATGAAAAAAGACTAGAGAGTTGGTCTCAGATCTTGTAAGCTTCTGCTTAACTACAGAGCACACTCATTTCTTGACCTTTTGCATGATTAGTTCTTAGTTTCCTTAGGGCAGAAACAGAGAGATTGAGCAGAAGGGTGTAAAACCTAATTGAAAGCACTATTCAGAAAAGAAAGATTCCAGGAATGAGCATAAATAGAGCAGTGCCATGCGTAATGATTGGCACATGAATGAGTTCATTGGAAATGTAAACACGGAAAGGGACGGGCAGAGAGGGCACAAGATGAGCAAGTCAGCGATGAATAACTGCGGAAGTGGTTAAGACTTCCTGGTCAACAAAAACAGTGATGCAAGAAGGGGTTGGGCTAAAAGGAGGGAATCGGAGCAGCACTCCCCTTGGTGCGCTCAGCTGTGCCTGCCTCTTTGTGTGTGGCTCCACATCTTGGTGTTTGTTGCCTCATGCTCTAATGCCGATCAATAACCGACCAATAATCACGTGGTTTTGTGTTGATGACTGCTACCCTCTGGTTCCTGTTACTGCCTATGAAAAAAACATAAAAATTAGCACACCTGTTGAGCTCCTGATGATTGAGGCAAACTTTTAAACCCAATCACAGTTCTTAGATATTCTTAATCATAACTGCTGAGGCAACTCAATCCAGTACAAATGTGCAAGCTAATTTTACAGGATTTTGTGTTCTTTCAGTAACTAGGTGGATTCCTGGAGATGGATATATGTAGCTGACTTTGATCTGGAAAGGGTTTTTTTCCTATAATAGTTTATTTTTATGGTATATCATAAATTTTATTGGCAAGTATAATTGACCAAAATTCTCAACACCTTTTGTCATGGAGACCTTGACAGACTGCTGTTGCACCATTGCCTGCAAATGAGCTGAGCAGTCCTTTCTAAGTTTATTTTATTTCCAAGGATGAGCATCTACGACCTCTCTCTACAACATTATACTTAAGTGAATTGACATAGCCTCCGTTCAATGCCACAGGACAAAGCCAGGATAAAAATGGCCCAATCACAAAATGTCCTCAATATGTGAAGGCATACTCTTTGCAGAGTAAAGCCAAATTCTGTATTTGTTTATTTTCCTGCTGTTGACATAGCATAGTCCTTCTTTGGAAAAAGCTCTTGGAGATACTGAGTACTTTTGCAGCGGTGTGTTCAGAATGCCTCAACGTCTACAATACATCTGAAAAGACCTTTTTTCTGGGTTCTTTCCAACACCAATTTACTACTTAGAGACGAATCAGAATCAAAGCAATGGATGGGTAAGATGTGACTTTTAAAGGTTGCTTGCTCCAGACAGTTTTGAGAGCAGGAGCTTGCCAAACCTGACTTCTGGAAGAAATCCACTGGACTTCATAAAATATGGGATAAAGGTGTTACCTGAAAAATTACTTAAGAGCAATGTTCCTAAATGGTAAGCTGGGCTGTAGCCCAAGGTCATTCTCAGACTACAATGGCTCTGTCCTCTCTAAGGCAGCAAGATGAGCAGACTTGTTATGGGAGATTAACCTCCACAGAAAGGGGCATGAATGCATTTCACCCTTTCCAGACTTGCTTCATACCTTGCACTGACATAGATCACACCGGATTTGTGTGAGGAAGGTTACATGTCAGTGATAATAAAGTTGCTCTTGGGTTTTTGTGGAAGATCCCAATCAGCACAGCAAGCATTTTTCAGCTCTACCTCAAGCTGCCTTCAAAATCTGGCTGGTGAAACACTTGAGTCTGAGCAGATTAGACCATACCAAAATGATACCTATGAAACTGGAGTGCATTGGTTTCTTGTAAAAGCTCACTGTATCCAACCGTTATTTCTGCTCCTTTCTTCATGAAATAAATAAACAGAGATTTAGCATAATATACTGAATTCTTCCTAGGGAAAGTTAAGTCAAACAAGTTTTTTATAAGATTCTGGAGATAATATATTCTCCAAGCAGAACTTCAAACTCCCTCCCACTTTGGACACTGGCTGAGATGCGTGTGACGTTGCCCGCAGGACATCGTAGCTTTTGACAGTGACCATGACCAAACAGAACACCACATTTGGAAAAAAATAGTACCCTTCAGAAATAAACTTTATCTTTTCAGCCATGTTCTGAAATAAAAAAAAAAAATTATAATATTGTAGAACAGCCTTAGCCTCATATAATTCAAATTTACTGATATTGAGAGCCACTAGTTATCTCTTTGAGAGCATGGCTCAGGGATGTACTGCACTTTGAGATGTTCACAGTCAAGTATCAGCCTCATTCAGAGAGAAATTATTTCCCTAATGAGATTCCAGCTTTAAAATAATAGCACTTTAATGGATACAGCAAAATAAAAGTATAGTCTAAATAAACAAACATTACCTCTCAGAGTGGTAGTTTTATTTGTATGCATTCAAAAGCACATAGTTTTTTTCACAGGAATATAAGCATAACAATGGTGAAACATCCCTATCAGATCCAACCACTATTCCGAAGGATTCAAAAGCAGATCCAAGAAACTTCACAGGAGGCAATGGCAGGACAACCTGCTCCAGAAGAAAGTTTCTGCTTAATCCCCACCAATGTAATACTCAGCTGATTTAATAAAACATGTACGCTTATATCCCTTTGAAAAGTTATATATATATATATATATATATATATATATATATATATATATATATATATATATATATAAAATCTGTATTTCTTATAGATTTCTGTACAGTAATATTTACAATATATTGCAAAGATTTCACTCTTATCTCCATATTCCAGACCATAAACCCCAGACTTTGTACCTTTCTCCCGTTATGCCACAGCTGCAGACATTGCCCCTTGTCACAGCACTGGAGAACCATGAAACACCTGGGTGTAAACAGCAATTTGTTCTGTACACTTGCATCCCATTTGACTATTTTGTTTACATGGTTCTAGTCAAACAAAATAATTCAATTTATGGCTAGCCTTTGTCATCAGCTGCCATTTTAGGCTCCCTAGACTATTGAAAAATCAGCTCCATTGCTAAAACTTCTGTTCCAACTGCAACAGCCCACTTTTCCAGTTTAACACCAAAGCTGGGAAATTCCACCCATCCCAAATACTAAAGAAAAAATCTTTTCTTTTTGAGAAAAAGATAGGTAGTGGCTAGGATTAGCAAGTTCTTGTTGAAAGAACTGAAAGGCCCAGCAGAAGAAAGGAAAACCCTCTACATGTAACAGTAACAGGAGTGGAATGAACACCAGAGCTCTCATCACTTGGAAAAACCACTGAATTAGCCATTCCCAAAATGTATGGGGAAAGAAAGCTGTCATCTATTTTTGTTCTGACATATAGGAAATGACAATTATTAGCTTCCCCAGAAGGTATTATTAAATAAAGGAAATCTACAGCTTAACAGGAAAAGATCCAGGTCCACATCACCTCTGAAATAAATGGGAGTGCTTGGGATTCCCACAGAGTTTGAACAAAGCCAGAGAAATTTTGCCACATCAGTGTGGAAAGTCACCTGAACCCTATTGACCTATCCATAAAAACAAAAAGAGGGATTAAAAAAGTATTCAGAATGGGTCCAATTCTGATTTCACTAGCCTCTGCCATACAACCCTCATCGATTTTCAGAAAGGCTGATGTTCAGTATTTTCAAGCAAATTAAACATATTCCTTCCTAATATTGAAAACTCATGAGTAATACATCTTTCATCTTAGCTTTTGAAAGCTGCTCAATGGACAGAGGAACAACAAATAGAAGTTAGAAAATGAAACAAAAATTTTCCTTGGAAACAAAACAAATTAATTCTCTTCTCCTGTGGCAGGGCACTGGATTGTAACTCAAAAGATTTTTCCTGCACTCTGAACTATGTACAGTAATCCATGTTTTTGAAAAAAAGCATTCCTTAGCTCTGATATATAAATATATATGTGGTACAGCATCTTGCTGGGAGCATGAACAGAACAAATACATCAGATTATGCTCCTGACTAATAAACCTAGACTGTGATCCTTAAAAACCTGCATCTTCAGTGTATAAATCTTATCATACTAGCAGCATCTTGACGTTTTCTGAGAATCATCCTTTCATAATAATGTAACAAATATATATGGAGATTTCGTTATGTAAGAAAATATCCACATATGCTACCTTCTCTCCAAGTTTGAAGGAACTCACACAAACTACTTTGTTTTCTCCAGCTGAAAAGTGGTTCCACAATTATTTTTACTGGAATGGTTATCTAGTTATCTTAAGAACTTCAGACACGTAGGCCTTAGCACCTAACACTAGAAACAGAAGACATTGCATTTCCAAACTGGTGCTGTAATTGAGAACTAACCATCCAAGGACTGACAAGCACATTCAAACCCATGGAAGTGCAACTCAGATGATATTTAGCTGATGTCGATGAGCTCCTCAAGGACAACTCTTCCACAACCATGGTAACTCAAAGTAAGTTTTTAACTTCTGCAGGACCAACAACTGAAGTCAACATTGTGCCAGTCAGGCAGCTTTCACAGATGGGTATCACTGCAAATGAAAGGGAAAGTGGCTTTGGCTTTTTTTTTTTTTTTATTTTTTTTATTGTTTTGTGGTTTGCAATGTCCATCCAGAAATGCTTTGATTTTCTAGCAAGCAATGACAAATTGGGATGTTTGATGCATAGCCAGCAAATTCCATGAGTTACTGCAGAGGCCTCATTCACTACACTAATGATCCAAGTATCACCTTTTAAAACATGTTTAGCTCAGGCAGCCCAAATGAAGCATTTTACTGATGACACTGAGTGAGGTGTTGTCTGCACTGGGTGCCATCAGGACATTCCCTGGCCTGGCGGTGCCCTAACATGCCCTCCTGCCCTGCACAGCCCTAGTGCAGACCCACACTGGGGAAGTGTGGCCCAACACAGCCTGGCATAGCTCCCTATGCTGTGCCATGCTGTAGCAGCCTGCTCACTGCCTAAAACCAAAGGTGTTACACCACGACTGCCAAACCTTGCCATGTGTGCCATGTCAGACTCAGGCACATATTGCAAACAAGCTGTACTGTTCTGCAAGGCAGAAACAATGCAGAACCTCCCTCAATACCTGTTTCCTGGAAGTATTTGGTGCTATTCTTTCCCCATGGCTGAGCAAACTGTGTGACAACCCAGCAAGAGCAAACTAGATGGATACAAGGTACACTGACTTGGCTTGCATGCTCTCAAGGAAAGAGGTTTGGCAGGGATTTAGCTCACATGTTTGCCAAGTATTTCAGAATAGGCCACCACAGTGAGTCCTCACCAGCCAAGCAAATGATGGTGAATGATGTCAGGATGAGCTCTGATCAAAAGCTCTGGTAAGGCAGAGCCTTTGGACATCCAGGTGGAGTCTGTCTGCAAGGGAACACCCGACCCAGAGGTCATTGCCACTTCATTCCCACTTTGTCCCCCCATCCCTGTTGACAAATTCATTGCTGGAAAGAGATGGGTGCACACAACAGACCTTCTGTCACATCTGGAATGACATCCTGAGGCAGTGAGCTGACTGAATACTATTGCAGATGGCAACTGCTGCCACGCTTCAATTTTCCAGGGGATTTTGTTTCCTGCTGTCTTGCTGGGGCACAGTTCACAATCTCCACTTTTCATTGCAGCCTTGGACATCCTTGGGCTTGACAAGAGTGAGACTTCCACGGGATGGGGGTGAAGGTAGGAAACAACAACAAAATACTAAACTTGTACAAAGTACGCATAAGCCAGATGAGGGAACAGTTTCTTCCTGCATCTGGTTTTGTTCAACTTCCAAGTCATTTCTTCCAATTCTGAAGAAAGAAGAAAAACAGTGTCATTTGTTATTTATCACATCAGACAAGCTTAAGGTGATACTCTAAAGCTTTTATTCAGCTGCCTGTGGCTACTGCCAACATAGTAAATTACCCTCCCTGGAGATTTCCACTTGAATAATGCCCACCCATTTAAGAATGAGGAGAAACTCAAGGCTGAATAATCTTGATTCAGCTCAGGAAGGAGGATGCAGAATGAACGAACCCTCTTCCTGGAATCAAGCAGAACTGACAGTGAGAGGAACTGCAATGACTATCTTGGTAAGGACCTCAGTTTTCCACACTCTGCAATCATCTCTCTGATGAAACGTGCTAAAGAACCTGATCCTTCAACCAGCTATTTTATTTACATGGTGCTCCATCAGGTCCCAGAGAGCTCATGAAAAATTAAACAGAGAACATAAAATATGAATGGAATGATCACTGGCCCATAAAAGCTCTGCAGTTCTTGAAAGGTGCTTTATACATAAGGAATGTTGGGATTGCAGAACTAAAGTTTCTGCCTCATTGTCCAAGGAAAATGCCACAATTTTCAAGCCTCTGTAGCAAACCAGGAACTTCTAAGGATGTGCCTGGGAACACCAGGAAAAGTACATTGCTTCCCAGCAGAGAATAGCAGGCCACTGCCCTTTAATAACTAAGCTAAACAGAGCCAAACACTTGGATACTGTGAAAACATACAGGTATCTGACCTGATGCTGTATTGTCAAGGTGTAGAACTGAATGAAAATTTAGACCAGAACTACAAGACTCATCTTGCAATCACATGATGATAAACAACTCTCTCCTTAAATTCTGTCCAGTAATGCAGTATTTAACTTATGGTAACTTTTGATGACCCTTGTCCTTTATCCTGGGTGCAGTGAACAGGTATCTTTAGCTGACCTTTCTGAACTTCCCACTTCTGTGGCCTAAATGATAAGTATGTTCTCAGTTTTCAGAAACTACCTAACAGATGAGATCCAACAGTTGAGAGTTAGCCCGAATACTCTTAAAATTAGGTTTATAAATAAGGACCCTCTGAATTAGTCTTTCCTAGGATGTCAAAGGAATTGCTACCAGAGTAATTAAAGTTATTGCAGAATGAACATAGGATCCTAACTGGAATAAACTTGATGTTTTTTTCATTGAGATCTTATCACCACCTTGTTAGGTTGTGTACCACAATTTTCTCTTACATGGTAAAAATAAAAATCCATTGACCAAGCTCATGTGAGGTTGCACTGGTTCAGCTCCTGGTACTTCCCACCCTTGCCTTTGCCATGGTGCAGCACCTCCTGTGCAGGCTGCATGCTCCAGCAGCATCTCCTGCCTCAGCTGCAGCACTGGACACGCTTGGCACATGGATGGGGAAAGGACCAGCTGCTCCCTCTGGGGCCAGCTCTGTGGTGCTGACCTGGACCTTACCCTCACCAGGGGCATTCCAGAGCAAACAGGCTTTTATTTGGTTGTTTTTCTTGTGTGGTTCGTGCTTGCTGGAATCTGCTTCCCATCCTCTTGTTCAGTGAGGCTGGCAGCTGCAAGCAGCTTCACAAAACCACCACCTTCCTCATTTTGTTTTGTCTATCTCCCTGGCCTTTTATCACAGAAGGATGAGCAAGGAGACATAATTAGTTCTCTCTTTCTTCTCTCTAAAATTATTTGGGAAAGGATTTGTTACATAACAACACTCCTTTCAAGCTGTCAGCAGCATACCTGAGAACATTTTTATCAGCACAGCCTTGAAAAGTTTTTGTAAAATGACTCTCTCCCTGTCTTCCTCCTCTTGCAGAAAGAAAACAGACTTTTGAGAAAAATTCTAATTCTAAAGATGAACCCAATTTCACATCATTAAAATCAGTTTCAAGTAAATGGATTTTTGTCTTATATGGATTAAAGGAATTTAGAGTGACAGCCTCGCATCCACATAGGAATGAGGCTCAAGCACTACAATTCTCCACATTCTTGGGCCCATGTGCTCTATCAACAGCTGTATCTACACCAAATTATGTTCTTCTCATGCACCAATTACCAACTGTCAGAAAATATACATGTAATCCTTCATATCAAGACCTACTCATGAAACTTTTAAATACCACACGGTAAGCTGTGGTAGTTATCCTAGGGGCTTTATGTACTGGAAGAAGAAAAACTCCTATCTCATGGATTATCAACACCACAGGCTCCATGAATATAGTTCTCTTCTCATCCACAAAATAAACACCGCTTTTATTAAACCCAGGACACTGGCTTTTGCCAGAGCTAAATTTGTTATGCTTCTGTCTGTGAAGTAATTGATTTCTAAGCCTAGATCCACACTTTTGTGTTAACTGTCTTTGACTTAAAACACTGGAGCACCCCTCTGACCAAGGCAAACCCACAACCCACTCCCAGCTACCAGAACCAAACCGCACAACAAAACCCACTGCAGAGAACACCCAAACTCTGTGAAATGCTATGAGGTCACCTGGAACAAACTTTTAGAGTCCCAACAGGAAGCCACAGAGGAAATAAGATTCATAGCAGGGCACTGATTCAGTTTTGGTTTTCTGATACTTGGGGGTGCCTATATGTAAGGAGAAGAAGAGAGACTGAAATAAAGGGGAAAAAACTGTAGCAGTGTAGTGTAAATACAGTGCACTCCTGATGAGTAATAGTTTCAGCAGTACAGTATAAATAACAGGGTACTCCTAATTAGTAGTAGACTCTTCAGTCTGTTATCCAAATAACTGTAGCTAAAGGTTGAATATATTTTTAAGGCATTCTCCTAGCATTTAATCTAGCAGAAATTAGAAGAAATAAGATATTTGCAAAGCAGGAATCAGCAAAGTGCAGGCATCCTTCACAGACACCGACTATCTAATTTCCTGTGGGGGGTCTGGTCTAAACCTGGCAAGCTGCAAACATTTACTTGTTTGTATTTTGGTTTTTGTAATAACACACGTTTCTGCTTTGCAAAAAAAGCCATACCTGGAACATGCGGTAAACAAAACACATTTTCCTTCAGCCCTTCCTGAAAACACTAATACAAACCACGAGAAGTTAACAGCTCTCTAAAAACGAAAGAGAAACGCAAATTGCCAGGGCGAGGGTCTGCACACACCTTGAGCTCACCAGGCTCCAACGCAAGCTGGATGAAGGCATCACGCCAGTTCCTGGATCACCTTATTGCTCTCCTTGGCTTTCTTACACGTGTACAACCACTTGATTATCCGAGCGTTGCGCTCAATCACGGAGGTGCTGCTGGGGACCTGCTCCGTGAGCTCGTCCTCCAGCAGCCCGTCGTCCCCGCTGTGCCGAGTGAACTCGCTCTCCGAGGTGGCCACGCTGATGCTGCGCACCTTGAAGGAGACATTGTCAGACACCACAGAGAAGTTCTCTCGCCCAAGGTCCTCAATGACCTCCTGCTCCAGGCCACAGTACTTGAAAAATGTTTCAAACTCAGCGAAGGACTTGGAGTAGCGAGAGCTGATGTCTGACTGGGAGCGATGGAGACCTCTCCTCTTCACCTCCTTGATCTCTTCAGGAGGTGTACTCAGTTTCGAGGGTCTCTCATGCTCTTTTGTACATACCCCTGCCCCTTCAGTGCTCACAGGGATAGTCTGCACCGCTCCATGGTCGCTTGGCTCACGGTCACCATCTTTTGCTGAGACAGGCTCGCTGCTCTCGGTGGCGGCGATGTCCTCCATGACTCTGGGCAACGCAGGGGAAGCCAACTGCTTCTCCTTTATGGACCCATTGAAGATCCTCCTCACCAAATTCCCCCGCGAGCTGTCCTGGCTTTGACCCCTGCCGAGCTCACATTTCTGGCGGTAGATCACCAGGGAATCGGGCCGCATCTGCCTCTTGGTGCTGCGCCTGGCGATGGGGGGGCCGTGCTGCAGGGGGGCCCGGCAGGAGCCCCCGGCCGTGCCCGGCTCCCGGGGCTTCGCGCCCGCGCCCCTGCCCCTGCCCGGCTCCCGGCTCGCCGCCCTGCTCTCCACGGAGCAGGTCTCGCTGCTGCTCTCCGAGGCTGAGCTGAGCGCGATGACGGGGTCCTGCCTGCTGCCGATGACCTGCTGGCTCTTTACGTACTTGGCCTTGTCGGCGGCCAGTCTCTCCACGGCACTTTTCCTGCCCGGCTTGCCGGCCTCCAGCTGCCTGCGGAGGTACTCGGGCCCCTTGTTGAGGAGCCGCAGGGGGAGGGAGGAGTGCAGGTCGGAGATGGCGTGCATTCCCACGGCCCGGGAGAGTTCAGCTGGCATAGCAATTTCAGGGACGCGGATCCTGCTTCCAGTCCCACGAGGGAAGTGGGATAAGAAAATGTTTTAAAAAATTTAAAAAAGGAAAAAAAAGGAAAATCGCGGTGTAGGA